GGGGTCGTGCATGATGCGATTTTTCGTTAGTCTGCGTCCGAACCCTCAATTGTCGAAATTTTATCCCAGTTCACGCTGCTTGGTGTGGTGATTAAGTGGCAATTCAGTTCGCCATTACTGGAACCACTGGCCAGCCGCTGGACAGAATATGGAACCGGGAAGTCATTGTGTTTATTTGTCGACCGTGGGCCGGAGATTGAAGACTAGAGTAGTTTACGGCTCACGCGATTGCCAGCTCTTAGGATATTCTTGGCCTTCTCAAGCATTAAGGTTTGGCCAAACCCCGTCGAATGGGTCCCTGTCTGAGAGCCAGCCTCCCTTCTCCCTGCTGTCGCGTAATCGGTCACCCACGCGCGGATTAGGGTTCCTAGTTGCTGCGGCGTAGCATCTTTGTTTGCAGATGCGGTAAACTATTTCAGACGTTTTCTGCCGTGCCTGAGCACTTATTTGTTGTAATTAGCATTTTGCACCATTAACAGCAGGAAATAACAGAGGATTTATTTGTGTAGTCACCTCGGGCAGATTTATCTTAGTTCTTTTTAGTGGATACATACATAAGTGGACATCTTCGTTTTCCAATAGTTCCTAGGCTACAGACCATGGGGTTTAACGTTACCTGTAGCCTGGGCTTTCTGAGCCTCTTGAGAACGTGGTTATTTTACTTATGGTCTAGGGATTTATGGGCCTCAGAATTAAGTTGCATACGAACCCGCGGGGAAAGAGGAAACCATTCTCAGCAAACATGAATGCCAAATAATTGGGAATTCTTCAAAAGGTAACCGTGTTTCGGAAACAAGTGAACGTCTACACAGTGTACTTTCAACTATTCCATACTTTCAACTGCATAATACTGGGAATAGACTGCTTTCTACAAAATATTATGGGGAATGAAAATCCAAAGTCTGTATTTTACGAGTGATTTGCTTAACTTACTCACCGGGGAAGAGAAACTCATTGAATACTAAGCAAATATTTCGAAAAGTAATGTAGGCTTGGTTAACATGAAATGTACTTCCGATTTAATTAATATACGGTGGTATGCTGAGTCTCAGGTGAGTCACACTCCAGCCTTGTGTGAGCATTGCGCTGGGGAAAAACTATATTTCCGGCCCTAATTTTACTGTTTATTCAAGGATGTTTGCATAAATTCAGGCATGCTTCCCAGAAGGGATGATAGAAAGTACTTCCTTGCCTTCGTTTTCTAGGAGATACTCGGGATGTTACTCAGGTT